ATTTTTTAAAAAGCTGTCCTAAGTTTATTTTAAAGTTTATGCTACAATTATCACATATCCTGCCTAAAATAACAAAAACCACATCAGTACTTTTTAGGAATCAGAGTCAGAAGGGTCTTCCTTTGAAGGGTCTCTGGGGCTGCAAAAAAGGACTTGAATCCTGAATGTGGTCCAGTCCACCTCTGACTTAATGCTCTCATTTGGTCTGTGTTACTTTTGGTAGCCTTTGATTTATTTGGCCTTGTTAGAAGTTGGCTGGACTTAAGGGTAAACATTTGAGGGAATATGAGCTAGACTGGAACACTAATAAATAACCATCAAGCAAATGCTGAATTAGAGGACACCCACACTTATTGTTTAAGGTGCTGCTGCCTTGTGCTGATGCTGGCTTGACTTTAAGCCAGTTTAAGAAAATCCTGTTAGGACAGACACTTTGGCTTGCAAAGTATTCAATATAGAGTTCCATTGGAGAATTTTGCGGCCACTGTGCCCTACTACCTTTCTGTTTCTAGAAGGCAATTGCCAATTACTTTCCTTCCTTGGTTGGGTCTTCCTGGACATATACATTTTTATATGCCTGTGTGGATACACCCCACATAGTTAAAACATCAAGATGCACAAATATCATGCAGGCACAACAACTAGGTTTTTTAAAAAATATTTTCTAACTGCATTGTTACTTTCTCGTGTTTTAAGCCTTCCTTTACCATGAAAACTGTAATAGTATCATAGCTATTACTCTTTCTTGTTAATGGAGACTGGTTAATGGTTAAAACCTGGCAGAAACTTTTTTTAAAAAGTACTATTTTTCCTTCTGTGAGCTTACTAATTTTCTGTTTGTTTTTTTTAAAGTCTAGTAATGTATTGCTTCATTGTTTTCCCAGTAACTCAGAGCAGAAGGCTTTCAATCCCAATTTTCAAATAAGTCTAGGTTTTTTTCAAAACTCAAAAAACCTATCTTTTTCAAACTGCCTTAATAGGATTTAATTATTAGTCCTCTGATCATCCTAGTCTGGGCTGAATTGCCCATAATGGATGCTGGTGACCATCAGCTATCCTAACCGAATAGAGTGCTCAGTCCCTTCTTACTCAGTCCCTTGATTTAGTTAATCAAGTTTGTTACCTTTCGCCCAATTATATTTCACATCATGTGTCTTGGATGGTGGTGTACAAATTAGAATATAAAATAAACCATGACTGGTGAAATTTGATTTTATGGCATCTACCTTGGCCCTAAGTATTAAAGTCATCCACCCTTGAAGGCTCTTGAATCCAATGTATTCTGGATATGCTGATTTTTATATAGCTAGAATTGGTGATCCTATTGAGTCCCTGGTTCTACAGTGGAATCGTGGGGTGCAACAGGTCTCCAGTGTAACCTCCCAAGAGTACCTTCTCTGGTGTTGTGAAATATAAGCTTTCATTGGTTTCGCAGGGAGCTCTTAATAATGAAGTGGGTTAGATAGTTCAAGTGCTGATGATACAAGCTTGTGATGATAATGGAATATGTGTTAGAGAACATAATCATGCCTTCTGTTTGGTAATGAAAACAGTGAAGAATGCTTACCTTGCTGCCTTCATTCCATCCTCAAATAGCAATCCAGCAGAATTTTTTAAAAAATGGTAATATAAATAATGTCCTCTGAGTTCTTGAAGATCTGCTGTTACAAATTAGCAGGCCAAGGAATATTGACTGGGTGGGTGCAGTAAATAGTGAAAATATGGTTACACAGGGGAGGGTGCTTCCTACTACTATTAAAGGAAGCAGGGAGTATAACCACTCCTAACCCCCCCCCCAAAATTCCTCTGGATCTAGAATATTGTAATAACCATTGCCAAATGACAAATGTCCCTTTCTGGTCAAAATGACTGAGAGAATTGGGGCACTCTAATTATAGGTATTCTTGGAGGATATTGATTATCTAGATTTATTGGCTTGGATTCTGGTTTGCTTATATGTAGTATTGTCTTTAGCCAACCTACTGGATTTATAAAGAAATTGACAAAGGGGATACAATTTTGTTACTCTTCCTAGATCTTTCACCAGCTTTTGATTCCATTAATCACAGTATCTTCTTGGGTAGCCCTGTGAATTGAGTTGCTAGTGGTCTTCTACTGAGCCATATTCAGGGTATTGATATTTCTGTATCTAGTTCTAAACCATTCAGGATGGGGTTATCTGAAACTGAGTCTCCAATTATATCAGCCTCAGAGGCATTCACCATCTTGGGGGAAGGTCCTGCTCATTGTGTCATGGCATATAGATGCCCACTTGGTAGGGGACCAGAGATGGGCCTTCTTTATAATGGCACCTCTGCTTTGAGATGATGTTCCTGGTGTGGTGGTCCAACCCTCAATATTGTTCTTTTAAATATATATATATTGTTGGCCTTCTCCATCCATTAATTCTCCTGATACCACTCTTGGAATGGGTTCGCTGTACACTGCTTTAATTTTGTTCATCATTTTCAGCCTCTTCTTATTCTATCTTAGAATTTCTTTGCAGTTTTTGTAAACCTCTTTGAGACTTTCTGGAATGATGTACCATAAACTATTTATAATAAAGAAATAACATAAGTAAATATATAATAAAGTTACTTTTATTGTTTCTTCTCTTTTTCTTCTTACTTCCTTTGCCTATCTCTTGATGGCACTGGGCCTCTTGAAGGCATTTCATTTCATTGTGGCACTGACATATTTCCATTGACCTTAAAAGCAGGAAAAAAACCTCACTTCTGTTTTTCTTTTGAAAAATGTTTTTCTTTCACTATTTCTTGTTACTCCACTTCCAGATACTTCCATCTGTATCCTGTTGCTCAACCCTTTTTCCATCTGACACTTTTTATTCCCATATCAAGTTGTTTTCTTAACAATTCTTATTTCACTAAGCCCATCCTTTAAGAATGCTCACAGGCTGAATCACTGGCATATGCTATTTTAGTGGGATTGAGTTATAATCAGGAAGAACCAATTTCAAGAACTCAAAGCAAGGCTTCTTTGGCTATGCACCCACTTTCAGAATAATTAGTGCTACGGTGAACTGTTTTTTAAAAAACTATTTTTATTCAATTTCTTGGGGAAAATGCTTTTCCAAGGAATTAAAACAATGATGACATGCTACTAGATCAGGTGGGAAGTACTTGTAGTTACCTTTGAATGTTTCCAGATGGATTTTGAAAATTTCAGATGAATTTTTTATGTCTTTCTGACAGCATAATGATCTATTCTGGTATTTATGGAATATCTGTACTATCAATTTTTTTAAAAAAATATTTTATTAAAATTAAATTACAAATACATTATAGCAGAGTGAAACAGCTTGATAGCTATATCTACTCTCTAACATGTGGACAAACATATTATTTCTAATAATTATAGCAGAGAGATACTGAAAGATGGAGATTGGAGAAATGATAATTTTGATTATGAATCAAAAATGCATAACAAGCCTCAAGTTAATCAAGAACATAAGAACACTGTTGTATAACATAGGTACAGAAGAAATTAAATTGAGGATCAGTTATTCATAAATTACTGCAGAACCACATACAATTCAGGGTGTAAAAAGTCTCTCTCTAAATGGTAATAAAACCATCACAGCCATTGGTCACAAAACCCAACTTGGTATGCATCATATTTAGAACTAAGTTTGGTGTGAAACACCAAAAGTGGGAGAACGAAATCTACCTCATACCGTGTACAGGACCAGGATTTTTATTCAACAAACACTTTTCAGGGTGTTAACCCTTCTTTTTGAATAAACAAGATAAATGGATCACTTTATTCATGAGGCAACGAGATAATTTAGGAAAAGAAAATGGGTAACTTTAGTCCTGGGAAAAGCCTCAAAGTATACTGGAGAACCTGATGCAGTGCTAAAGCAGGATGTATGATCTTGGAGACTAAGCGATTCCTGAATCAGTCTTTGATCTGAACTAAAAGCCAAAAATGAACTGAGGTCCCAGACTTAAAAAGAGACAATTAATGCCCCTGCCTAAAAGCAATTATAAAACTCAAAGGAAAGTGTAGACACCGTTTTAAAAAAAGAAAATGACTTTCAGGATGGCTCAAAATGGATAATAACAAAGGAATCAGTAGTATATTCTGGACGTAAGAAGGGAAAATTCATTCTTTTAAACCTTGAACATAGATATTGGGGTAATCTGTGGAAAAATACAAGGCACAACTATGCTTCCAGTTCGAGGTCTCAGATAATACTGTTCCCAGCCTTGTGATTCGTCATCCAAATACCCTTATTATTAAAAACTAACACAAAGCCATACAGAATAAAGAAAAGAAATAAATAAAAAGAGAGTGAAAGGGGAAAAAACAAAAGTGCAGAGAGAAAAGATAAAAAGAAATAAAAAGAAGCTTCCTATTTCCTTTGCAGCAAATATGAATACAATGTTATTTCTCACTCTATGATTACAAAAAAAGCTCACTTTTTTCTGTTATCTATTTTTTTTTCGAATCATCAAAACCACGAGTCATAACTACATTTTTATGTTTCATGTAAAAAGTCTATAAGGGGGTTCCAGTCAGTCATAAATGTAAATATTGTCTTTTCTCTAATCAAGGAAGCCAATCTAGCCATCTCTGCAAGTTCTGTTATCTTCACCAACCATTCCTTTGTTGTGGGTAGTGTCGAACTTTTCCATTTTTGAGCATATAGAATCTTGTTGCAGTTGACACATATAGAAACAAAGTTTAATGGCTTTTTTCTACCCGTCTGCTTTTTTGCATATGTTCCTTAGCAATCACTAGCCAGACACTTTATAGAAAATACAGTTCATGCATAGTCACTTCAGTCTTGGATGGCCAACCAGTTTCTGGTGCATTGGAACGTTAGTACGACACCTCTGGCATGGTGTTCCCCTTAATTACTATCAATACAAAGTATCAAACGGGAGTGTGTGTGTGTGCATGCGCGTGCGCACATGTCTGTGTGCGTGAAGCTGGAGAAGCCAGGAAATCTTCAGGGATGAAGAAATGTGTAGCACTGTGCCAAAGTATGCCTTCACTTCCTCAGAAGCTTTACTCCTGCAAAAGAGGCTTCGGTTTTTTCTCAGAGCATTCAAGAAGATTTTCTCAGTGCATTTGAGAAGCTGTACCCTTTCAAAAAGAGGCTTCCGTGATTCTCAGAGTGTTTGAGAACTTTTCAATTTACCTTGATGGTGGGTTTGTGTGTTTTTGCTCTTTGTTTAGCTTGCTGTTTTGTTGAAGGCGGTGGAGAGTGCTACTGCTGCTGTTTTTGTTTTCATTTTGGTTTTTGTTTTATATATATATATAGTATAGGAAGTGACATAGGCTGCACATTGCTGGAGAGATGGTTAGTTATTTCATTGTTGATATATGTTGCTTTTCTGCCAAGATATGTTCAAGGTAGGTAGCAGTACATAAATAAGTAAGTAAATATGAAATACCAGGGCTGGGCAAATCCTTCAATAAGGCACTTGGCTCACAAATGATGCAGACCCTTCTGGATCTGTACCACAAAGCAGCCATAGCTGCTTCAAAGCTTGGTGGAGTTGATTTAAGGATCCCTTGAGGTCTTCTGGCTCTGCCTACTTTCCACTGAGATATCTGGGGAAGCAAAGTACCTCACTGAAGGATCGATAGAATGAAATCAAAAATGAAAAAAATGAAAAAGATTTGGGGGTCTTTTAAATTATACTAAAGTTTAAGAATGGAAGTGTTATGATTTACCTCCAGGAATTGCCTTGCGTTTGGATACTGAATCAATGTGAATCGTGGTATTTGGGTTCCCCTGTTTCTTTTTATCTGTTAAAGGTCCATTCCAACTCCATGCACTGTGCATTTTCCTTTTTTTATTAATACATACAGATATACGGACCACTTTGGTTAGGAAATCTAACGATCCATTAAAATCACACTGTTACATATTACTGTACTGCGTATCACTGCACAAATACAAGAGTGTGGTGCATTCTGTTGCTTCTAATACTGTAAAACAAGCCAGGTAATTCAGAGAAATTGAACTCTTTATTTGTGTGCTTTCACAAAGGTTTCCATTTCCTTACAAGTTTAAATAATGTTCATATGTATGAAATATGTAAGATGTGATGTCACCTTCTGGGTGTTATGTTCTTAGATTTGGGAAGAGATAGTTGTTTTCTGACCCTATAACTGCTACAATATCATCTTCCTTCATTATATTCAAAACGATTTTTTTTTTTTTTTGGTAGAAAACTGATTTACTAATTTATTTTTGCTTTGCTATTTCTAGAGAATGAAGCGTATTTATTCTACACGGGCTTTGCAGGATCTGGCTTTGTGTATAATAGCTGTAATGTTCTGTTCCACACAGGGTAAGTCCAGCTTGATTAGTATAATGTTATTTTAATATTAGAAAATTGTTAATGACTAGAAGTTACTACCATAGTCATAATATAGTACCTCCTATATAGACCCCTTTCTTTCCTTCCTGGAATTCTTATGGGTGCAAGTACACATGCACGCACACACCTATGCCTATGCTGATCTACAGATACCTATATTCACTGAATAAGTTTTAGATAGAAGCCATTCTTCATTTTGCATATGTCTGCAAAAATTCCATAATGGACAGTAAAATATAATAAATTAAGGACAATTAAGAAGATTGTCATGGATATTTTGAGAGGGATCCGTTTTTGGACCACAGAGTTCTCCTGATGATGTAAGGATAGAGATATGAACAGCGAGAGACAACCCATTAAGCATCCTTGGCTGCTAGGGTGGGAAGCCCAGAAACTCTGCATGAAAACCCAGATGTCCAAAATCTATGGATTTGGGTCACAGGGAGCTTTTCAATACTTTTATTCTTCTAAGACTAAGATATAAATAAGTATAACATTTGATATACCATTCTTTTTCTTTTTTTGTCAGTAGAGCTGGAAGGCTGTACCTTCAGTTTTAGAATAAGGGAGGTACAAGGCAAGAGTGAATGTAATCTAGGCTTACAGTATTGTTGTATTAGAATTAAAATAGAATATAAAGTCTTACTGTATGGATTTTTAGTGGAAGAAGTTATCTGCATGTATAGTTGCCTGCAAAATATTGACACACACATACTTGTCATTGTATGTATCAATGAATCTTTAAGTGAACACGGACTGATGCAATCTCTACATGGTGCAAAATTAAACATGAAATCTTTCTGCAAATTTGAGTTTATTCTGTGTGTGCAGGACACACATACTCTCTCTCACACACACACATTGTTTATTTATTTATTTGATTTATATCCCATCTTTCATTCAGGAGTTCAAGGTAACATACATAATGTTCGGAGTTTTCCCCACAACAAAAACTATGTGATCTATGTTTGGCTGAGAAAGAATAACTGTCCCAAGTCACTCAGTAAGCTTCCATTGCTAAAGGTGGACTATAACCTGGTTCCCCCACTTTTAGTCTGGCATCTAAACCACTATAACACACTGTTTACAGATTCAAAATAAGAAAAATGTGAATGTGCAGATGCACCTGTTCAGTCAGTGCTTTCTAATTCTTCTTCTTTTTCCCTGCAGAATTAACAGCTTCAAAACTTTTCCTCTAGTCACCTTTTGTTCTGGCTTCCATTCCTTTAGGACTCTTCTAGCTGATAAATATTTCTAGGTCTTCTTGCATGCACTGCATGTTTGAGATCTCTGCATGGATTTTCAATAATATTCAACTCTACAGACCATGAAAGCCATTTTAAAACTCCTTCCTTCCTTCCTTCCTTCCTTCCTTCTTGATTTTAGAAGCCTGGTTCAAATTGTTGTCTTGCTGGAATATCCAGTAACTGTTCAGTTTCTTACTAACTGTAGGACATTAGCTTCTGGGAATTGTTGATAATTAGGTGAATCTATCCTTTCTTCAGCCTGCGCAATATTACCTATGTTACTGCTACCCAACCCTCAAAATAATAGAGCCACCCCCATGCTTGACAGTTATCACAGTGTTATTTTCTTCAAATGCTTGAACTCTTTTCTCTTCAAATGTATCTTGTCTAGTTATGGCCATATACTTCAGTTTTTGTTTCATCAGTCCAAAGCATCTTGTTTCCAAACATTTCAGGGTTATCAAGGTTTTCTTTTGCATATTTTGTGATGAGATCAGAGAAGATATTTCCTGTTGACAATTCTTCCACAACATTATTGCTATGCAAGCAATGCCATTTCTTTTTTTTTTAATAATATTT